CATTTTTATGTTTTTTTGTAATTAAAATAACCCCCTCATTATATTGTTATTAATTATTTTTATTTTGTTTTTTTCAGATATTTCCTGAGTAGCAGTTTGCTTCGCGTGGAATGTGGGCACGTAAAGATTATGACCAACTTCTGTTTTTGTAACTCATGAATGAATCAAGACGAAAACTTTTGGTTTTGATTTTGATTTATATTATTTAAATTTGTGACCAACATTATGTATGTATTATGTGACCAACATTAGGAATTTTTATCATTTGCCAACTTTTGTTTATGTATGGATTTATATTATTATGTCATTTCTTGATTTTTTTTAAGCTATTTTTCATTTGCCAACATTAGTTATTTTATTTATGTATTTATATTATTATATCATTTGCCAACATTACAGGTTATTTTTATATTTTAAATAATTGTAAAACAGGGATTTTTGTTTTTTGTAATTTTTTTTGAGACGGCAGAACACCCCGTCGCAAAAAAAAAAAAAAAAAAAAAGCTGTGCCAGGCTTTTTTGCGACGGCAGCCATACCGTCGCAAAAGGTGTTGAATTTATTTGAGAAACAAGGCTTTAGCGACGGTGAAATTGCCGTCGCCAATAGTCAACATTTTTTGCGACGGCATTTTTTGCGACGGAATTTTGCCGTCGGCAAAATCTCATTAGCGACGAAAAGCTTGTGCCGTCGCAAAAAGCCCAGATCTTCATCCACTATCGGCGACAGATATTTGCCGTCGCAAAAAAGAAATATTCCCGTCGTAAAAACAATGGCGACGGCAAGTGCCGTCGCTAAAGGTCTTTTGCAACCCCCCCTGTTGCGACCCCTACTTGCCGTCGCAAAAAAAAAATTTACCGTCGCAAATAGCTTTTGAGACGGCGTTTGGATTATTTGCGACGGCGTTTTGCCGTCGCAAAATACAATTTTTTTTGTAGTGTAAACCTAATAGATTATATTATATATTCAATGACCTAATGACTATTATATTATATAATACAAATACAATATAAATGTAACTTAAATAAATATGATATATATTTTATGTCATTAAATAACTACAACATATATAAATATATTTTATAAAAACAATACATGCAACACCCTCTTTTTTTTTATATGTGTAAATGAATATATAAATATAAAGATTCTGATTAATTATATATAATTAAATACCACATTAAACTATTTAAATATCACATTAAATTAACTAAACAACACATTAAATTCTCACGGATCCACATAATTAATAAAGCTAAAAATAAAATAAGATAAAAATAATCATAATAATAAATAATGACTTAAGAAAATTAGGGTCGCTACATTCAGGCATCTAATAGGCAAAACAGTGGAGGTATACATTGATGACATGGTCGTGAAGACCAAGGAACTTGAAGATCATCTGGCTGACCTAAAGACAGTCTTTGACACCCTAAGGACATTTTAGCTCCAACTCAATGCATCGAAGTGTGCATTTGGAGTTGGGTTAGGAAAATTCCTGGGATACTTGGTCACTAGAAAGGGCATTGAGGCAAGCTCGGATCAAATCAAGGCCATTCTGGAGTTAGAGAGCCCAACGTCGGCAAAGCAAGTGCAGATGTTGACTGGAAGGGTTGCAGCCCTAAATAGATTCATAAGCAGAAGTTCTGATAAATGCAAACCTTTCTTCAGTCTAGTAAAAAAAGCCACAGACTTCTTATGTATAGATGAGTGCGAAGTCGCCTTGACCGACTTAAAGAAACAGTTGACCACAGCTCCAGTTCTCTCAAATCCAGTACCTGAAGAGGAGCTGTTCTTATACTTGGCGGTCTCAGAGCATGCAGCAAGTGCAGTAATAATCAGGGAAGATAAAGGAGAACAGAGGGCAGTTTACTACGTAAGTAAAACCCTAACGGATGCAGAGACCAGATACCTATCCTTGGAGAAGTTGACACTGGCTCTAATAATGGCCTTCAAGAAGCTAAATCACTACTTTCAAGCCCATAAGATTGTGGTGTAAACTGAGCATCCTTTGAAGCCCCTACTGCAGCAAGGAGATTTGACAGGCAGGATAGCCAGATGGGCAGTGGTGTTAGACCAATATGACCTGGAATTCAGACCCAGAATAACAATCAAAGGCCAAGTTTTGGCCGACTTCGTGGTTGAGTTCACACCAGGCGCTATCATACATCGGGCTCCGTTGAGTCGACGTACGCGATGTCCCGGTGAACAAAGAGAAACCCAGCTGGGGATAGTAAAATAGAGGAAAGAAGAGAAACTCAGGCCCTGCAGTATTTACGTTGGCGACTTCTTCCGCCTGTTTGTTGATGGAAGTTCAAACCGATAAAGAGCGGGGGCTGGAGTATTGCTAGTATTACCGGATGGGCAGATGCTGGAACAATCCATTCATTTGGGGTTTAAGGTCTCAAACAACGAAGCAGAGTATGAAGCACTGATCGCAGTATTAAAGTTGGCGGCAATAATGGAAGCCGACGAGGTAATGGTCTTCTGTGACTCCCAGCTTATCGTCAACTAGGCAACAGACGAATATGCAGCCCGAGATGAAAGGATGATGGCCTAAGTAAAGGAGGTGGGCAGACTGATGGCATTGTTCCAAAATTGCCGACTACATCAAGTCGGCCGAGATGACAACAACCATGCCGATGCCTTGGCTAACCTAGCTAGTACAATAAAACTAGGAGAGACAATGACAATAATGGTTGACTACTTGCCAGGTCCAAGTGTAGAACCACTAAACACAGAGCATGAAGCAGTGTGTGTGGAGATGCGACCAAGCTAGATAGATGCAATAATAGTATTCCTTAAAAAGGGAAAACTGCCAGATGATCATAAAGAAGCACAAAAGATTAGACTGAAGTCAGCAAGATTCAGTCTGACAGTAGAAGCACATCTCTACAGAAGATCTTTATTGGACCTCTTTTAAGATGTGTACATCATTTACAAATTGAAAACTTCTTGTATGAGATATATGAAGGAGTATGTGGAAGTCACACTGGGGGCAGGTCACTTGTTCATAAGGCCATTACTCAGGGGTACTGGTGGCCCTATATGCAGAAAGATGCTGAAGCCTATTTCAGAAAGTGTGAGAAGTGTCAGAGGTTTGCACTTTTGATACACCAACCAGCAACAGATTTGAACCCAGTGTCCAGTACCTGGCCATTTGCCCAATGGGGCATGGATCTTGTTGGACAACTGCCTCAAGCAACTGGACAAAAAAAGTTATTGTTGGTGGCAACAGATTACTTCGCCAAGTGGGTTGAAGCTGAACCCCTTGCAAAGATTTGTGACATTGATGTAAGAAACTTCATATAGAAGAACATCATCTCTAGGTTTGGGACCCCAAGAGTAATAATAGCAGACAATGGTACGTAGTTTAACAGTAAGCTAATCAAGAGGTTCTATGCAAATTACAAGATCAAGAACTACTATTCCATTCCAAGCTTCCCTCAAAGCAATGGACATGCAGAAGCATCCAACAAAACTACATTAGATGAGATTAAGAAGAGGCTGGAAGCAGCAAAGGAAAAGTGGGTGGATGAGTTGCCTAGTGTACTCTGGGCATATCGGACTACGCCGAGAAGATCAACTGGAGAATCCCCATTTGCCATGGCTTATGGCACAGAGGCAGTAATCCCATTAGAGGTCGGCATCCCAGGGATCAGAACCTAGAGAATGGAGAATGACACTAATGATGCATTTTTAGCTTGAGATCTGGATCTATTGGAGGAAATGAGGGAAAAGGCAGCAATTCAGCTGGGGGCATACTAGCAGCAGCTTGCCAATGCTTATAACAAAAAGGTCAACCCACGAGAGTTTCAAGTTGGGGACCTCGTCTTGAGAAAGATCATTGGCAACAAGAAAGATCATAAAGAGGGCAAGCTTGGCCCAAATTTGGAAGGACTTTATAGAATCATCTCGGTCCTGGGTAATGGGGCATATCGGCTTGAAGACAGTGAAGGCAAAGAGTTGCCAAGACCTTGGAATACTTGTAACCTGAAGTTTTTCTATCATTAAGATTTCTTTTTATTTTTAAGTTTTTCTGTTATTAGCCGAAGTAATTAATAAAATTTTAGCTCGATTTTTTATTTCAAAATTGTATAAAAGGATTGACCAGTCACTTAGCGATGTTTCTGATTGAAACATGATGAATAACTTAGACTTATTATATGGCAGAGTTAAATTATACTTGCATATAATAGAGTTGAACTAAGTTGGCGACGTTTCTGATTGAAATATGACGAATAACTTAGACTTATTATATGGCAGAGTTGAATTATACTTCCATATAATAAAGTTGAACTAAGTTAGCGATGTTTCTATGACAAAGTTGAATTATACTTGCATATAATCAAGTTGAACTAAGTTGAATTAATCTAAATTTGTTGTGTCAACAGAAAACTTTGAATGACACCAAGTACATATTAGTTAGATTAACAGAGAGACCAAGGTTGATAACCTCGGTCAGTCTTTGTTTGAACTTGATCTCGGCAACAAGGACATAGCCACATGCTTGATGAGAACCCAAGTGGAACTTTAAGTTCACATTAGGGGGCAGACAGTTGGAGAATAAATGCTTGGAAGTTGGAATTTACAAACTAAAGTTGGTTTAACACTTGTTGAAATTTAAAGAAAAATTTATAAGTTGAAGTTAAGCCGAGGTCATGTTCAAAGGAAATTGGTTTAACACTTGTTGAAATTTTAAATTTACAAGTTGAAGTTAAGCTGAGGTTATGTTGAAAGAAGTACCTACGTACTTGCTGAGATTACCATGTTGTTAAGACTTGGAAAATAATGGAAGACAAAAGTCTTGATAGCTGAAAGTGAAGTGGCATGTTTTAGATAAACACTTGAGAAAACTTTCTTACAATGTTTTTCAAGTACTAAGACAAGGCCGAGATAAACATTCAGTAGAAATATCCGAAGTATGTTAATCTGAGGAGATTATATAGCTAAAAGGCATCAACTGAAAACATGCAAAATATTCTAAGTACGAAATCACACAAGGCAGAAAAGGAAAGACAAACATACAACCATTTGAAAGACGAAGTTGAACTTGCATTCAAAGATGAAAAAGGGTACTTCGGCCTACAAAGGGATTACTTGTTCGGATTACAAAGGTGGCATGTTGGCCAAATTAAAGCTAACATTGTTTCAAAAGTAAAAAAAAGTACAAGGTACAAGAAATAAAGAAAAACATCAAAATGGACTACTCGGTGCCAACAGTTGGTTGTGTCTTAGCCTCAGAAGACAACTGTGAGCCCTTCTCGGTAGCCTTCTCAGCCTTAAGCTTGGCGTCGATCTCTCGTAGAGTCTGATTGATGCTCTTCTCGGTGATTGGCACCTCGGAG